AACCAAATTTAAGAAAAGGGAAATATTCTTCAGTGATTTTAGGAGGAAGGTATACACCTTTCTCTATCTGTAAGGTTTCACAATTAACCTGTCCAGAAGTGGATGAATTTCTCAGATTCTGTAATCATTTTAAATCTAATATAGCCTTGGGATCTTGGGAAGTCCTGTCTTCCACATCTGCCTCCAACAGCTGTCCTAACACTTGCTGGGACTACTTTATTTATAGAATCATAGGCTCTCTGATTGGAAGGGAGACCTGGAAGTCATCTAAATCCAACTCCACATTCACTTAAGCAAAACACAAATAGAAGCAGTGGCAAGTTTGGAGGCAGGGACTGCCCAGTACCCGTGCATGGGTTAACTTCAGTTTTGATTTCTGTGATCCAAAATAGTTCATCAACATTTTAACAACAGGTAAATACCATACTAAACATTGAATCAGGCAAAGAAATACGTTCTTTTTCCACACTAAAACTTGAAAATATTTCCAGCATACTTTATGCTTTACCAGACAAAGAATACTAATATTTTAGAAAGGAAAAATTTCCAAAGTAATTACAGCATCAGATTGTTTCAGATTCTTTCTTCGCCACTATTTACATTCCCGAAAACATGTGAGTGAAAGAAATGGGGAATGAATAACTAAAAGAAAGACTTTCGCCTTGAACTGATTTTTAATAAGAAAAAAATCACAATATAGTTCATAAGAAATTTCAAAACAAGTAATTTCTATTTTACACTAAACTACAGTCACAGCACTTCTTGTAAAGCCTCTTCAAAGGCTCAGAGTAAGACAGAGAGATTCCTGAAGACCATTTGAACAAAACACCATCTGGAAAACTGAAAGGTTATAGAGTATAAGATCCAGTCATGCTGCACGACAGAAGAGAGGAATAACATATGAGGCACAGTGATCATAAACCCTTCGCATGGAATTAGCTGAAGCATGCAAGAGCCATGTGCTATATTACTTCCATTCCTGTCACCCTCTCTCCCACCTACCCCAAAACTCAAGAGGTCTGCAGAGTCTTCACCACCATTCTGGACTTGGGAGAGAGGAGAAGAGGTGACCATTGCCCTTCCACGGTATTCTATTCAGGTTGAAGGAAGCACGGCTCAAAAAGGACTACGGTTGGACAATCAATACATTTCCATTTGCTAGAATGTGGAAAAACCATGAGCTAATAAAATTTTACACTACTGGCAAACCTTGTCCAATTTGCCCGCGTTATTTGGGAAGTGGCATGTAACCAAACCCCTAGGAAACCCAAGAAAAGGCTAATAATCACAAAGTTTCTGCTTTTTTGTGTAGAAAAGTACCGGGGGCAAAACCAGGATACTTTTTTCCTCATCACATTTACTTAACTTTTCACCTCCTATACTTGCCTTGGAGAGTTTCAATTCTATCCCTGCGCAGAAACACAACACCTCAGCACACGAACGGGCCAGTGCTGATGAAAACCTCCGTTATCACTATATAAAGACTCGTATCAACTGCCGTATCAAGGTGCACATCCCTTGTTTAGCAACACACTCATGCCCACTCTCACTCCCAGCACCAACTCTTGGGCCCATTCAGGCTGGCTTGTTATTGAGTGGCACCTAGCTGACTTACGCTCCCACAAACATGCACGACTGCTCACATCAGCAATGCCACACTCCAAATACCTAGAAACTCTCCAAGCCTGTAATGGCCACCTACTCCTAATGGGACATTCACCACAGAAGAGATCGGCAAACATCCCGTCATCCTAGAGCAGAGTAAATGGCCCATGGAGCATGGGATCTGTGATAGCAAAGTTACAGACTGTGATGAAATATAATTTCATGCATCAATTGACTTGAGTCTTTCTTTTCACAATGAGTTTCTCAATAACCGTGTCTTTTTCCTGCTCGGGAGACGAGCAGAACTCAAGCTCTATCAGTCTGACGAGTAAGATTTTATTTATTCATCCCTCCGCCTAGACTTCATTGCTTCTCATAGTCCAAGGCATCCTCCCTAAAGGGACAGAAAGGATTCCCCTTAGTGCTACATGAAATCTCTCTGCTCTTCAGTCTCGGCACTCTTCTCACTTACTTCTTACATGTCAACTTGAAAAATCCCTTAGAAACACAGTTAAAAGATGTTTATCTACACCTATTGAGACCTTCAAATAACAACTTTATGGCAATAACTACCCTCTCATTTCTCAAGTTTCACACTGAAATGCCAATTTTGGTAATTATTTCAGAGCTCACCTGTAAAGAGGGAGAGGGGGTACAAATACTGTGAAATCAGCACTAAAATCTAGAGTCTGGGTTGGACTTTTCACACCACTATCTAGCAGAGTAGTTAAGCACATATTGCATCACATCATTAAAGACAAATCAGTTTTCAACAGTTCAGAAAATACTCCTACGGTGTTTCGTATTTTCCCCTCTCTCAGTTATGCTGTGCATGAGATGACATTCAGGAAAGTATTAATGAAACTAGTTATGCCCACTAACACACAGAATCACCTGCAACAGAAAAATTTTTAAATAGCTGCCGTCTGTTCAGCCCGCAAGCATCCTCCTCACGTAACGGATGGGTACAGCGTGCATTCGGCTAAGTTCACCTGCCAGCACCAAGACAACCCAAGGCCCCCTTGCCCTTGGCACTGCTCATCAGTACCCTTCTGCTGGGCAGAAACCGCCTGCCAGGGCCAGCTCAGGACTCCCAGCATCGTGCCGAATTGGCAGCACTGCCAGAGAAGCAGCGCAGGAGCCCACAGACTCCCGAGCCTCCCAGGACCCACCAGAGGATTCTCCGGCCACCCTTCCCGAAACCCTGCCCACGGCAGTGGGGCTGAGCTTACGACGTTTGGCACTGCCGAGGGAATTACAGCGTGCTGAGGAGCAAAGGGAGAAGGCTCGAGAAGCAGCTTTTCATCTTCCGTAACTTTTGCTGTACTTCTCCCTCACTTTTGTCTCCTCACGACTAACAGACTGCATGCACTGGGGGCACCCAGGACACAAAGCAGGGAATCTCCCAAACCTCCCAATCCCGCCTACGCTCTTCTCTCTCAATGCAGCTTTTATTCTGTTTTCTTCCTACCCACAATGAAGATGTTAAAATAATTAAAGCAACGATTCTTTTTACTTTGGATAAGCTTGTTAAGAGTGCTTTATGCTTAAAACCATGACAAACATACTCTTTATATTATTTACACAAATGACTCTTAGAGCGTTTTCCTGATGGACCATTATTATTACTTGATAATATGTAATCTGAAATTAACATAGCACGAAAAACTTGGGAAGAAAAGAAACATATAACTAAAGAATTGAGGGATACCCCTATAGCACTCAGCATGAATCAGACAGACAATAGCAATATACTGCATTAAGGGTGTCACTGTTAGCTTTTTCAAAACAAACAACAGAAAAGTCTGACCATCTCAAGAATAAAATCAGTGGAGTCACTTTCTGGACTCTTCTCTTTTGGAATAGTAGTAAATATGATTAAACAAACCTCTCTCTGCACATGATTGGTAGATCTTTCAGAAGAAAGTACATCATCTTGTCTGTCAGTACAGCCCGAGGGGAAAGGGGAAGGGAGGGGGGGATACGACACAACTTCCATAATCCTTTGTAATAAAAGTTCTCTCTAATTCATCTCAAAAAAAAAAAATATTAAAGAAAACCAGCTGGTTTAATTACGGGAATAATCTAGAGGGACAACAAACACTGTCAAAATTTTTGGTCCATGATGCAAGCCTGAATAAAATACTAACAAAACAAAATAAATCCATTATCTTGGCTTGGAATACTTCGCTTCAGTGTAAAAAATGGTCTTTCCAAAGCATGAAGAACACAAGGCCGTGCCCCTCCCTCCACCCCCCAATAAACAGATGTGAAAACCTGGTTGCTTAATTCAGATGAAAATTCCCCAGTACAAATACACATCGTACCCTAATTTAAACCACAGGTGGTGTAAATGCAGATCTTGTATACCACAGCCCTTCAGGTTCGATAGTGAAACACCTGTTGGTCAATTTAGTAACTGTCATTGCTAATCCCACACAACGAAAATACAGTCAACTTCAACTACGTATTCTTAATCTTAAAATGTTTAGATTTCAAAGTACTCCATGATAAATGGCTATTTCAAGAGCCATTTCTGGAAAAAATGACTATGTTTGGGAATTGTCCATTTGAGACCACATGCACTAAAACCAACTTGGAAGTAAAATACTTTTATACTTAACCCTGACACTCCGCAGTGAAAAGCTGGTAGAGGAAAACACTACTAGTTATTCCTTCCTGAACCAAAAATACTTGAATAACATTCTTAGCTGTAATTTCAAGGGACTTAAGAATAAGCCAAGAGCTCTGCAAGAAACCCACCCTTCATTAGGTATTTCAATCAACCGACATCTGCCTCTCTGTAGCACAGAGATACACTAGATGTACAAATATAAATGTTAAAGGTTTTTAAAAAGTGAGGATGCTACTAGAAAAGAAATTCAGATGCAAAATATTAAGTCCTCTACTAGTGAGACATAATCATATTGTATTTCATGACCCAGTGTTTAAATACAGGGACTTCAAAGAACATCTGAGGAGAGCTGAAGAAAAGCCATTCAATCTAAAGAAGCTGTGATTTCAAACGAAAAAAAATGAGCAGCACAAAGGCCACCAAATACCCACTTCTGTATTTCACCACATGATTACAGTTCAGTCACAGAAGTCAAAACATGCATGTTAAAATTCTCAAACTTCACAAACCCAGCTGTCATTCTCAATTTCTGCTGGCTTAGTCAGCCATCAGGTAGTCTAGGAAATGACACAAGCTCATCAGATCTCAGCGTCCTTACTTCATTTACGATTACGCTCACTGGCTGGCTGCAATAAACACGCGTATGGAAAGATCCTCTGCAATCTTTTCAGAGCTGAGATCAGCTGTCAAAAGTCTGCTTCAAATAAAGTTGCATTTGAAAACGAACCAAACCACAGAAAAAGAAGGTAGGAAATTTTACCTTAATTGGAGCACGGCTAAACTGTATTTTTCTGTTGGCTGGGATTTCATCTTCATCTGGCAATCCATTAATTTCAGAATATTCCATATCAGGTTCATAACAGTTATTTTCGTCACTGTCATCCTGATCATCCTGTTCTGTACCTGTCTCTCCCCAGTCAGAATTGTACCTCGATCGTACCCGATACACATTGTAGTCAGAGTGCATGTACACGTGGGAACTCTGGAAGTTATTCACATCTTCATGCACTTCTTTTTCACTTGCCTCATCATAATGGGACTCGGTAGCATCTGAAATAGCATCTGTGGCAAAATCACCACCTGAAGCTACATTTCTTGGTACTTCTGCAGCTTCGGATCTATCAAAGATACCCTCTACATGTTCTGACTGTTCCTTCTGTTGCAACACTACTTCTGCCTCTGGTTTTGACTTACTGCTAGCACAGCTGTCCACAGATCTTTCGCTGTCAGGCACGCTGACCAAATCCTGTTGACTTGCTGCCGAGCTCTCAACAGAATCAGCACTTGCCTCTGTACTCTTCTTGATTTCTTCAGTTGGTTTTGAACCTGTTGAAGTGCCTGTGGACGTCTTCTGCCTTGGCGCTGAAGGCATGCTATTCTGCTGAGAGCTCTCAGACACCAAGCCTGTACCTGGTTTGGCTGGCGGAGACCACGTGTTGCCATCTTTCAAAGGACTGAAACCCTCAAGGTTTGCCACAGGGGAGGCGATATTACCAACAGTAGACGAGAGGTTTAGCGGATAGTGACCAGTTACAGAGTACTCTTCATTGTTCTCCGACTTTTCCACAACGATTACGTTGGGCGAGTCAGTGTTTTCAAACACTGCACTGAGCTGACTCACAGTCGGAGAGACGGTCTCTGTCCTTGGGCTAAGGCTGTCCAGTGAGTCAGTGCTGCCCCGGTGAGACTTCGAGCTGCACCACTCATCCGGGAGCTCACTGGAGGAAACTTTCTCTTTCTTTGGGGAATAGCGATTGGAATGTCCCATTTCATGAGCGTTTCGCTCAAACATCTTCCGAGTTTCAGTAAACTTGGAATAGGAAGGGCCATCATGGATAGTATCAAATCTACTAATCCTTTCCGAGACGGATGATTCCAATTTGACGACTGTACCATCCGCTTTTTCTACAAATTCTTTAGGCCTAATTCGTCTTTGAGGTGATGGAGGGCCACCCTTCCCCCTGGTTTTAGGGAGAACTCCAGCACTTTCAGTGGGCTCCATGCCCATCTGCATAAATAAGTTCTTAATCCTATTGACATTTGAGCCATATTTCCTTCCCCTGCTCTGCGAGGCCTCTCCTTCCTCTTTCGTTTTTTGGTCTCCATCCGATTTCGGTTTGTCAAAGGTGCTTTTCAGTGCCTGAAACTCAGTTCTGTAAGCATTTCTGTGAGGAGAGGCACTTCGGAGGGTTGATCTTTCTCCTGAAGACTCCGTTTTCATCATGTTTACTCCAGGAGTGCAAAACCAACTTACATAGTTTCTTCAGTACTGCCCTCAGTAGTCTGTCGCAGCCGAGATTCTGCTCGAGGAGTGCTTTTCTCAGGGGGCACTGCCCTTCAGCAGGGCCATACTCGACAGAAGATCCGGAGGCAAATATCTAAACACACGCAGTCAATCCTGACCAAGCAGCACAACCCAGGACTCCCAAGAACAAGGGCTGATTTAACCTGCAATAGAAAGGACGGTTCTCTGAATCGTGTCAGGCACTTGTGCTTCTTTATATCTAAGCCACAACTCCCATTAGCATTATTTGACGCATTTAGGAAAAAAAAAAAACAGTGAAGAAATACAACCCAACGCCGCACAGACACATGAAAACTTATCTCTACAAACTTTCGACTGTTGTGGTGCATCATTTTCAATCTATAATGTCATTGCGTAGCGGAAGAACAGATTATCGTACTTTACCGTTCACAAAGCGTCGTCTCATGCCACAAACATGCACGCAAAGAAGAGGCAATGTGACAAGAAAAATCACGCTGCTTCTGTGTTATGGAACTTCTCTAAAAAATACAATGTGGGGAAAAAAAATCCCCAAAAAAAATCAAACCTCTGAGTTGCTTACATCTAACTATCAGGTAATTCATGCAAACGTGATGGTTCTGCTTCCCTAAGGCACTACAAAACAACCCTTTCTCTCTCAGGGAAACATAATGGTCGAAATACCATCAAACATAACACGCCTAGAAAGGGAAAATTAAACAGCAGCTCGAGGGAATAAGCACAACTGCACTCAGAGTTAACATCCTCAGCTGACACGGTAAGGAAAGTGAAGTCCGCTCAGAGGAAGTTGCCCCTTGTCACGGGCAGCGGTTTCAGCACGTGGAGGAGCCTGGAAATGCCTAAGGAGGAGCTGCGGAACCGGAGCCGGGTCCCCTCCCACCCCCGGCCCGCGGTCT